TTATTCGTTGGTTGTGGCGGTTGTTTCGCTAATAAAGACGCCAACATTTTATTCTTCTCCCATAGCTTACTCGTTGCGCTATTCGAGGCGCTCGTTCCCGAAGAAGACACCTGCGAGCCATCTACAGGCCGTTTCACGGCTATGTTCAAATCACCATCCTCTCCTGGCCTCTTCTGGCCTACCTGCGTCGTGTTCCCGAGACCTATATGATCACTTGATTGCGACGGAGACGGTGACGTGGTGTTAAATCCAAGACTCCGTAAAAGAGGGTCGTTATCTCTGTGCTAAAAGCAAAAAAAAGAACGCTTAATCTACATTATCATCCTTTCACTTACATATCTTTTCCGCTTCCTTCTCTTTTCTTCCTCTTTTTTCATTCATTTAACTAACAGATTTTGATCCTCTGGCCAATTATATATCTTGAAACAAGGTAAAAACGGAAAATGATCCTTTTTACATTAAATCGATTAGCATGCGTATCAAATCAGTGCGGATATTACGTTGATTTGCGTCTTGATTGAATGAAGAATAGCACGTGTTGAACAGCACATCTCACAATTCTCTCTACTACTCCCTACTACTTGCTCACAAGCCGTGGAAGACTAGAACGATGACGTCACAATTTGCAACAAGGGGAGGGGGGAATAGTATAGGAAGGAAAGCTAGTTAAGAAGGGTGTATTCTTTTCAGCTAATGTTTTTTTGCACGGTTCATCTTTTTTCTTTTTCTCTCCACTAAAAAGAAAAAGAAAAAAGATAAACTATGCAAAAGTTTAGCTAAAAAGAACAGAGCAAAGGTTGATGCGATCTCAGAATTTTAATCAAGGCTTTATTAATTGTTTATAATTCCACTAACCTATAATAGTTTTGCTCATTTTTATAATTTTCACCTCGTTTTAGATACATAATCGACATTTATATGCGCGCGTTTGAAAAAAAAACATGCACTTGACTGATGTAACTTAGAGATTTTTAAATAAGAGATTGAACATCGTTTAGACAATTTCTGATTGATGCGCCATATTTTTCATTCAGGCTACTTAAAATAGAATGAGACAGATATATAAAATAGAATAAGATGCATGGATGTCTCATTCTATCTTAAAATGCCTACTGATAGATGCGGTAAATGCCATGGCATTTGCCACATCCATCAATAGGCACCTTTATGCATTATCTATCTCATTTTATTTTAAGTAGGTCCTGAAAAGTATATGCTGGAGCAAACGTATGTTGTCCAATCTCTCAAGCTCATGGCACGTAAGATTTGTTCTTTTTAGCTGAACTTTTGCACCAGTTCATCTTTCTTCCTCTTCTTTTTTCCTGGAGAGAAAAGGAAGAAAGATTAACTTAGATGCAAAAATTCACCTAAAAAGAACAGGCTTATAATGAAACTGACCGCCTCAGCCAATCACCGATCGGAACCGAATAGGCAGTGGACGCGGGTCCCTGACGGGAATTTTTATTTTCGTGCTCGTGAATGGTTTAAAATATTGAAAAAATTATCTACAGAACTCTAAAGAATAGATTTGATAAAGCAAGCTACGTTATTACAATATTTTAAATTATCCACTGGAAATTATTCCTCTTATTTTCATTTTGGAACTAAAAATTCATTTTGCGTTAAAATAAAAATAAAAAGTACAATCTCCAATGGCTTCTTGATAAATTATCCAGGACATGATTTTGGATAGCATTCAAGAGGTTTTAGTCGTCGATCGGACACTTTGCATAATGCTAATGCCGGCGATACTGTAACTTTCAAACCTTATAACTCGAAAAATACTTAATGAAAAATAACTTTATTCTAATTTTTAAAAGCTCTTGACACCAGCTATTAGATTCTATCATCAAAAATACAGCGTTCCATTTTAAAAAATCGATTTGACCTTGACCTGACCTTTTTCTCAAAAATGCTTTGCTTTCGAAATTAGACAGTTTCGAAATTAGATAGTTTCTATTTTTAATACTGTATATTGATTTACATTATCATATTTTGTCCATATACTGAATTGTCTATAAGATAACTTTAATTTATATAGAAAATTATTTCTTATTTTATCATGCATATTTGGAATATTATTTTCATTTTATCTCTTATATTTGATATATATTTCTTATATTGCTTTATGATAAGTTATTCTTTTTTTTATAGTTATAGCATCATTATTTTGATTTTCAGTTAAAATATAAAACGTACTTGTTGTTCTTGCAACTTTCTCTCTTCGTCTTGATTTTTCATCAGTTGTTGCAGGAGTTCATTTCTTTTCTTCCCGGTACGTGTTTCTTCGTCCTCGTCATCATTTTTCTCATTTAATAACTTAAAAAATACAAAAAAGAAAGAACAATTATGGGAATTAAAAGAAAGGAGATCTGTTAAATTAGAAATCCATACAATTCATACAGAAAAATGCAAGTCTTAAAAGAAAAAATGCGATTATGAAATAATCATAGGCTAAAACTATCTCTTTATATTTTGTCATTTTTTTCATTAAATCAATATATTTTGATTATTTTCTTCTTCTTATTGATTAGTTATATTTTAATCAATGGTTTTTTTTCTCTCTCTTAACAAGCTTTCACTGAATTTTATTTATAGTTTTAAAAAGATAATTTTTTGCGATTTTGATTGTTCGTAACTTTCAATAAAATTTGTAAAATTGAATTATTATTAAATCATAGGCCATAATTTAAAAATTTTTAATAAATTTTTTATTTATTTCTTAAACATCTTTAACTCCATTTAAGACATGAGAAGACTATAAATTCAAACTTTTTTTTTAATATTTAAAAATATATTAAAAAATTATTTTTTAAACTTAAAATATATTAAAAATATATTAACTTTTTTAATTTTATCGTCAACAGTTATGAAAACAATATAAGTTTTAAACATCCTGTTTGAAGTACAGAATGCAAGTGAACTTCCCCCTTACATTAAATGATAAAGAAATAAAGTTTATCTACAATTTACAACCTCATAGTACCAATTATATAAATTATAAAATTATAATAAAAACCATTATATAAATTGTACAATCATCTAAAATTTTTGCTTCAGATTCAAACAATTCATTGCTGTAGTCGAGGATTAAATTCATTTTAATTATTTTTACTTTTTTCTTGATAGAGCGTTTCTTTTAAAAAATTAACATTTCTAATTTTTTTTCTTATTACAAGATTCTTATTACAAAATCATAGATTAATTATAAACGCGGTCGACTTACTTGCAATAACATGTTATTTCCGAGTGATGATTTAGAGTGCTCCATGTTCGGTTTCGGTATGTTGCTAGGGCTCGTACGCACTTTATGTTCCGTATGATAGTCGTCGTCGTCCTGCTGGTTCAACAGGATTTTCAATATCCGATGCTTATTCTGATTATCCGAATCGTTGTTTGTATTGTCCTGACTATCATCACTAGCGCTCGGACCCTTCGTCAATAAGTTTCTGAGCCTACCGGATTCGGTGGACACAACACTGTTGTTCTGAGTTTCAACAGCGGTAACGGCAGTGTTGCTGGTCCTCGTGGTCGTATTGTCCATGGTACCACCACCACTGTTGGTAGTAGGACATGCGCTCTTGTTGCTCTCCTCAGTTCGTTTGACGGATGTTGTGATGTTACTACCGATGCCACTGACTCCACTGCTGATACCGCTACTGCCGGCACCGCCACCGCCATTGGTGTTGACATTAGTGGCAGCATTGCTCAATGTAGCCGTCTGTGTCGTCTCCTGAAGAGGACTGAAGGGGAACGAATTACTGAAAGTAGGAGCGATGCAGACCGGATTTGGGCTAAGTCTGTCTATAGGCATTAACGTCGAGTTAGAGAAAGTTCCCTGTGGACTCGGTGGTGTCGGGGATGGCTGGGAAGGTGGTCGTGAGTTTGGTGGCCCGCTTGCTCTCGACTCCGGCCTATCCGTCCACCCGGCACTACTATCCAAGTCCCATGTGGAACTGGGGAAGAGCTCGAATTCCAGGTCCATGTTCCCCGAAAAATGGTTGAACGGATTGCCAGTCGACGTGCTCAGCGACGTTAGGGGATTGCACGAATCACTGCTACCGCCACTACCACCACCGCCACTGGCACCCCCCGTGCTAAAGGCGATCGAGTTCGACGAAGTGGCAGTTGTCGCTGCCATACCGCGAGCACTGATACCACTCACTTGACCGTTCAGATGCGCGACAGACATCAGCGGGCCACCCACGTTATTGTTATTATTACCGTTATTATTATTACTATTATTCACACAACGGTTGCTAGAGTGTCCTGAGCACACTTTGTTGTTGGAAAGCTGACCACCCTCGATAGGCATTAAGTCATTGTCCCTATTATGGGCAAGAAAAACAAAATAACACATGAATTTGCCAGTTAGCTGCATCTCTTTGATCTAAGACTAAGCGTAATTTATAAAAATCACACACTATTCCACATCAGCTTGGTCGTCTCTCTTCAAGAGTATCAAAAGTAATTTATTTTTGCGTTATTTTGTAGCTTTAAGAGTAAGAACAGCATCTAAATCTTAGTTTGAGAAATTTTCTATATGTATTGCGATCAGTCCTGTCTAGCAGACTTGCAGAATAAAACTGTCACAGAATAAAACTGTCACATAATTAGAGGAACTGAAAGAAAGCGTATTGAAATTTGTAGAAGACTGATCAGTTAGAAAAAAAAGAAGGAAATTCTCAAAATCATTTATGACCTAGAAAAAAAATAATTAAGCTATTACAAAATCTAACTTTATCTAAACTAATGTGTACTGAATTAAGATTTATTAACAAACAGATGCTGTTGTATTTATTACACATATTTCCAAGCATGATTTAAATATACAGAATTAAAAACAGAAAACATTCTGAAGTTATGTTAGAACTTTATTCGTGCAAAAATATTAGCGCAAATGTGATTTGTTTTGTTCTCTATCAATATTAATTTCCGTTAAATGCATAAATGCGGGATTACATGTATAAGTAAAGCAATTCTTATGAATTATAAACATCTCATTGAATTAAGTACATACATTAAGTAAGTATACATTAAGTATACATTAAGTATACATAATATTCAAATATTAGATTTTTTTTAATGTATATAATTCACTAAGATCTTTAAATCTGCGTAAAGATTGACTTAAATAATTTTCTTTATATTAATGTTTAAGGAAAATAAGTACAACTGTGCTAAAAATAATTAATAAGTTAAAATCAAATTTAACCTTAAGAAAAAAACTTAATAAAATACTACTGGGTATACAATACGTATTTTAATTACATGTATCCTAAGTTTTAGAAAAAGTTTTATTTTTTTCACTAAAATATTTAAGATAAAACTTACTCAGAAAGATCTCGAGTAAAACATCGTAATAAATTTCTCGAAACATGAGTACAGTAACAAGCAAATATTGTGTGCTAAAAGCCCTCACCATATCCATATAAACATCATTATCATCGTCAAAAATAAATTATATAAATAAACATGTAATATAACAATGTTAAATTTGAGCAAAATTAATATGTGATGGATGTTGTCGAATTTAAACATTAAAAGCAAACTGAAATACATACATAACTACTAGGTTATGGTGAAAGACAATTGTTCAAGAGTGGCCAGATCTCCAACACCAATAAGAAACCGTATTAATGTACATGCAAATGTTGTGCCCTTTGCAAATTTATTGCAAATCAAGTATGTACTATAATATTATAAAATATAAAAAAACTCCCTGAATTTAATGAAATTAATAAATTGGTGCAAATAAACGAAAAAAGATGTAAACTATACATGAGCAATTACATCCTCTCTCTTTCCTAAAATTTAATTGTATTATAGGAATCGAGATAACTAATTAGAATATTTATTTTTATATTTAACTGTTGTGCAGAGATATTTGAACAATTTTGTTACCAAAAATATAATTTATTTATAAACTAAAAATTTTATTTTATTATAATCCATTTCTTTCTAGAAATAATTTTTTATTGTCCCGTAATGTATTTCATATATTAAATTAGGTGCAGTAAAAATGTGTCACTTTTGTGCTCGAAAAAGCGTTAGTGCTAAAACAATTAAAAACTACTTATATATATTAAAGAAAGGTTATTAAAGCAACAAACTAGGTGATATAAAATATAAAAATCCACCAAAAATTAAGTGGTATTAAAAAATTGTGATTAAAATAAAATATCAAATCAATAAATGTCTTCATTAGATAAGCTTATCTTAGATAAGAAATTATGTGAGAATTTGTTAATTTTTAATATCAAAAGAAATATTCTCGTTCTATTTCGATTCACAAATTATTTTTTGTCTAAACATCAAGTTTCATTAGAATATCTTTTTCATGTAAAATATAATATAATAAAATATAATATAATAATATATAATAAGATTATTTCAATTTCTATGTACTTTTCAATATGCGTAATAACTTATTTAGAGTTGATCATTCAAAATTGGGAATTAAAAAATAATAATGATTCTCTGTAATACTATTAAAATTATTCGCAAGAAATAAAAGTAAACTTACCCAATAATAGAATTAGTTGCCATCATGAAGTCAAACGCGTCCTGCGTATTCAAAGTCGCTTTGAAAAATTTTGACTTTGTTTGTATCTTAAGGAACTTATCAGGACTAACGCGCAGTCGGTAAACATCGCTTGTACTTTCTCCGACTTGGACCGTATCACTCAAATGCTTCATGAGTGTACTGCGATCATGAGGATGGCACAAGTCCTTAATCGCTGTACCTACCAGGTCCTGCAATAGAAAACGCGTTTGTCAATACTTTTCAATAACCGGCTTTGAAATATGGAAACAAGATACACATGTAAAAAAATAAAATAAAATAATTTTAATTAGATTGTTATAGAAATCGTTAGATTTTAAGATTATTTTAGTATAAGGATGGAAATTTTGCGAAAAGAGCCAGTTAGGACGTTACTGGTTTATTATTTATTTTTTTAACAACATTGAAAATGTTCTCATGTTTGGTCGAAACATCTGTTTTAATGTATATTATTTAAAAGGAATATTAAACATTTGTAATTAACCACTAGCTTTTGTTCTCGATATTTTTTAAATTGTTTTATTCAATTGAGCTTTATGTTTTAATTTGATAAAATAATTTCAATAATAAAAATAATTAATTTTATTGTTATTATATATATATTTATCTACCGATAGCATAATGACAATTATAACTACGCAAAATGATAACGATGCTTTTTAAAGCTATTGGAAAATGTATTACTAAATTATCATCATCAATTATATTTAATCTTTTGGTAGCTGAAATAAATAACAGTGGCAGACAAATGTGATTAATTTCATTATTCCAACAAAAAAGAAAGACAGTATGCTTTTGTAATTATTAAATGTATTAAATAGAGCGCACTCTTACGTTTTTTCTTTAAAAAAAAATAATTTATACTATAATCAAATCATAAAAAAATTCTCATCTTAGTCAAAGTATGAAGAGTGCTTCGTACATACTTTATCATTTTATATAATAAAGTTCAATAATTATCGAATACTACTATCAGAATAAGTGAACAATATAACAATGATATACGGCATTGCTCTATGCGTTTTTACCTTGTTTAGGTACTTGGAGTAAGTGGGGGATAACCAACTGATGTCAACCGCGATTATCTTCCCAGTGGTATCCAATCTGACGGTGAATTGCTCAACGGGACCAATGAGCTTCTCGTTCGGCGGTATTCTACGCGCTACGCACATCACGCAAGGAACAATGTCTGACGATTCGGAGGATACATCACCACTCTCGAGACGATCAGCGTTACTGGGCAGAAGAGCAGAACTGATTTGCATAGACTCGTACTTCGATACTCGCTGTTGCTTTTCTTCCATAGTCTGGTCCTTATCATCGGGAGGCTTCACTAAGAAGCGGCAATTAAAGGTACGATTCCTGGTTTGAGGCTGTGGTTCGCTGGTCCAGCCTAGAATGTGTAAACTCAAATGTTTTTTTAAACGATCACATAATACTGAATTTAATAATCGCAAATAAAAAATTTCATAATTTTTGTAATTATGGATATGTAAAATGTGTAGTATACAAGATCCCGAAATTCACAAATCAAAATACTACAATAAAAAAGTTATTTGTAAATTTTTATTTTAAATAATAATTTTTGAGAAGAATTTAAATATAACTAATTATAGACTACATGTAGACAGTTACCTGTGAGTTTTTTAGTAAGCGCGTTGAAGTGTGAGCTCACTAATACTACCGCATGCGCAATTCATGGACAGGTGGCCATCAAAACATAGTCTGTAATTTAGCTATATTTAAATCCTTATTACCTCAAAAATTATTGCTTGAGAAATAAATATTTACAAATAATTTTTTCACTTAATTTTTCAAAAATTTTCTTGCTGTGGTATTTTAATTGAATGCAAACACCTTGCATATATTAGTTTCTAAAAATTTGGAATATTTTCGTCAATATAAACAAATCTTGTATTATCTTGATTGGTGCCAAATAAAGTTTAAAAAAAGCTAAATTTCATTTTAAAAAATTTAATTAATATGTATCTCAAACAAGATCTTCCTATGAAAAAAATGACATCAAAATTCAAAGAAGATGCATTTGAAATTCAAAGCAACTTTTATGAAACATCTTTCATCACAATAATAATTTCATCAATTATAAATTAGAGATGCATTTTGAAGAATATAAAAATAAAAATTAGTCGGCTCAAATTATTGCAATTAAAAATATAGCTATATGAAATATAGAGAGTGATTTTCACGATGTGAAAAAATAATTAATTTAGTAAAAATATTACTCCTAGAATCTGTGAAAATTACTTACAACAAGAAGAAGGATAAGAATAATTGTGCGAAGAAATTGAAAAACGAATTGCGGACCCCAAGGAAGAGGATCATTTATGAATTGAAAAAGTAAATTACCCATGACCTACTGATTGCGTCTATCTACAATCTACCCTGCGAGTGTCACTACCCCGTAGAGGAAAAAAATGTGCCGCACGCGCGTGTGTGAAACAATTAAGATACGTACCTAAAGACATGGGCAATAAACTAGGCATGAAGGTGTTGTGATCTCCATGATGAATGATGTTGTAAATATCCTTTCCGAGCACATCGTCCTTCGTATAGTTTATGTACTGCGTTATGTTATCCGTAACGTACTCCACGCGGCCCTCCGTATTTACAACAAATAGAAAGCCATCAAGCGCCTGCAAAGAAGAGATACGACGTCGTTGTAGCAATTACGAAGTGATGGTCCGCGACTTTTAAAAGAGCCACAAAGGATGCAATTTGCTTTCCTGTTTGACGGTGATTAACTATGAATCTCTGCTAATTTCGATAATACGAACCTCGAGTAAGATAGGACCAACTTGATCGTTGGACAATATGTTGGGATTCGAAGAGGACACTTCTCCCTGTTGTACGGCATGACTATTGGAACCCTCTTGTTGCCTAAAGTGCCGAATCTGCGGAGCAAAAAAAGAAAATAATTCTATGTATCGACATTAAAAGAAAATTATTTATACGCAACATTGCTGAAGATGGTTTGAAAGAAATCGAAATTCAGACATCAACCACACATCAATTAATTTTTACTTAATCTAATGTAAAATTGTATGTCAATAATATATTAGGTGTACAAATAAGTTTCCGCCGTTTGACAAAAGACGGCGCCACTAGCAAGCTATGGTTAAAATTCTCTGATGTAAAACATTATATCGTAAGGTTGGACATCTGTCAACAACATAACCTTGAAATACTAGCGATTTTGTATCAGCATCATATATTTTTTTTTGTGCGAAAATGCCGAGTTTTGAACCGAATAAGCGTCATTTGCGGGAACTTTTGATTTACTTCTTTAATTTGAAGAAATCTGCAGCTGAGGCTCATCGATTGCTTGTAGAAGCATATGATGAGGCTGCCTTAAGTGAGAGAAGTTGTCGTGAATGGTTTCAAAAATTTAAGAACGGTGAATTTGACGTCGAAGACAAAGAACGTAGCGGAAGGCCGAAAGTGTACGAAGACGCGGAATTGGAAGCATTATTGAATGAAGATTCGTGCCAAACGCAAAAAGAACTTGCACTTACATTTTGACTTACATCAATAAAATATTATGTATCGTTCTTTCACAATAAATGCTTAATTTTTTATTAAAAACGGCGGAAACTTATTTGTACACCTAATATATTATATTAATTGCGCTCCAATTACCGCACTGTATTAATGCTCTCATTGCCCAGTTATTACAAATTCAATTAACAAGCAATTTAATATTACCAGGAATGGGAGCGGTTAGAGTTGTCAAAAATAGAGAAAAAAGTAAGTTTTATTCTCGAAAAAAAAAAGAAAAAATAGTGAATCGATAAAAAAATGAAGATTAGATTCCTTCTTAAGATTAAAAAATAAGTATTTCTTGAAAATTTGAATATTTTTTTCAGTATCTTCTCAAATAATTAAATTTTAAAAATAAAAATAATAAAATGTGTAGCAGAATATGTATATAAAAACTGCCTCTATACAAAATTAAACTTAACATACATCGATTGTTAAACCATTATGAAAAAAAATTTCACTCCCTATTCTTACTATTGCAATAATGACGAAAATAAATTTTTTATCATAATTTTTTTCTTATCTTTCTAATTCATAAAAAATTATGAAAAAGATCAATGATATTCTGATACTAAAAATTGATAATAAATAGTATTTCATCAAGATCAAGAAATTCAAGAAATCTTGTCTTGGTTTTGAATCAAGATAGGATCAAAACAAGAAATTGGAAATTTATTTCAAGACAAGAAATTGTTATTAAGACTAAGATTTTTTGACAATAAGTCAAGAAATTTCTTGAAATTTTTTGAATTTCGGAGTTTTTATTTTTAATATTTTATTATTTTATTTCTGATTTGAAAAGTTTTGAATAAGTTAGGTTTCAACATTTCCAGTTGTATTTATTGATATTTAACAATTATTCATACATTATCACTAAATAGCAAAATAGCATATGAGCAGAGTGTAAATCGATTATTGAAAAAGTGAAGTCTCTGATCTAACCAAATTAAATCATGCTCATCGATATGTCTTTGTTATACCAGATATTAATTTTTATATTTATGTAAAGGAATATACATAAAACCAATATTGAGATTACTGGCATAAGTATATTATGTATAAACATTTGCGTACTTCTACTAATAGTATCAATTAAATCAGGAATGATTAAAATATATGATTATTATAATAAATACAATAATAATAGTTATTATATCTAATAATCTCAGGAATCTCTAATAATTTGAAATAGTTACATTTGGCAGTAACCTCATGATATTAAAAATGATAATTTGAGAAATATTTTTAATCTTTATTAATAGATTTGTACATAATAGACATTATAGGTACACTTTTAAACTATAAATTTAAACATAGTAAACTACGAGATAATTCGGCATTCAATTTGTTCCTATGTTTTCTTATTATCTCTTACGATGTAATCAAAGAGCCACAAAGATCCTTAAAAAAGAAGTTTCAAGAAATTCAAAATTCTTGAATTCAGGATAAGAAATATAATGTCAAAAAATGGTTCAGATAAGAAAAACGAAATTGCTTAATCTGAAGATCAAGACAAGACAAGAAATGCTCTTCAAGACACGAAAACTTGTCTTGATAAAACACTAGTAATAAAAAATATCGGAAAATATTTCTGGTATTTTTTACAGATTTATAAAATAAAAATTCTAATTTAAAAAAATTAGAAGTTTATAACTGCCAATTATAAAAAGTGTACATAATGAAGTCTTTTGCATAAAAATTTGAGAAATTTCATCACAATTTTTTTCATTGAATATTTAAATTTTTGTAAAATGCGAAACAATTGTAAGCGTTTCTGAATTTATGAACAATAATGTACACTACATGAAAAAAGGTGAAGTCGAATTACGTCTATATTACCGATGCTAATGAATATCTTTTCTGTAAAACATTGATTGCGAAAAATATAATCATATTTAACAGAGATTCAAAGATTTCTGGGTCAAGAGAAGATTACAAACTCATTTTAGAGGACCACATCGCAAATCCATATTCTAGAGAACTTCACACATCCAAAAGTATATAGGGTTCTAAGGTATATAGTGACACTAAGAAAATAATTACATAGAATTTCTGTAATTTTAATATCAAAGAAACCACGAGAAAAGCTTCTACTTCATACACTTGCACTCACTAAATAAATATGTAATATGTAAATATCGCTCGACACGTGCGTACGTAGCGTACAAATGCCATCTATGATATATAGTTCTACTAAAAATCGATAGACTTCATCTTGCCAAAGATGATCGATAACCAATCAAAATTGTTACCGTATAGTGTATTCTTTAAAAAAAAATTAATGAAAAATAAATAAATCATCAAATCTGACCTTTCTGCCGCAGATCTCTTTTAGAAACCGAAGGAAAAAAATTAATGCGCAAACGTAAAAAAAAATCATCAGAATTTTGAGAGGTCAGAAACTGTTTTTCCATCAGCCGAAAAACCAGAGATGAGAGAAGTAGCAATCGTCAAAAACAGATTACACTACCTGCGTCTTGAAAACACTTTACAGAACATTCCAAAACATCCGAGCTCATCGCAAAGGATATACGATTGTATTTTTATTTCTCGATTGCGCGAGAGATATCAGTGAAACAAGAGACGGTATATCACGCTAAATATGAGACAAATAATCCACTCGGCTGGTATGAGCTTATTGTCACGCACATTTGTTTTTTTCGCACGTAACACTTACAATGATACGGATTTGTCGCGCTGGTTACGGCACGAAGATAATTAACAGTTTCACGACGAAATGATGCGCAAGCAAATACAGATGGTAGAAAAACACGCGATATATCAATGGAGAAGCGACAAAGGAATCATCAAGTTACATATAACAGCGACGTGATTAATAATTGGTAATCAGAAGCAGCGAAAAATATACTGAAAAATAGTCTCGTAATAGTTATCAAATATTGAGTAAAGTAATTTCAATCAAAGTATTGAGTAAAATAATTTCGATTAATACGAGGGCAAGTCAATAAGTTTTTAGAAAAACATAGTAAAACACGTTTTTTTTTTTTTGATCGATTCATTTTTATTTCTCAACATAATCTCCTTTCAGCACGATACACTTGATCCAACGATTCTCCACCTTTTTCAAGCCGTCCGAATAATATGATTTGTCCAATCCTTCAAAATAAGCCTCTGTTTCGACGATGAGCTGCTCTCTGGTGAATCTCTTTCGAACCATTTCTTCAGATTTGGAAACAGGAAATAGTCGCAGGAGGCTAAATCTGGCGAATATGCTGGATGGGGAACCAATTCATAGGAATTCGTTGAATTTGGCCATCGGTGCCGGGCACGTGTGAACCCGTGCATTGTCTTGATGGAAGAGCACTTTCTTCTTCGCCAAAGGACGTTTTTTCTCTAAAATATTGTTGAAACGGTCCAATAAGGCTGCGTAGTAATCACAGCCTTATTGGACCGTTTCAACAACATTTTAAAGATCGTTTGCTACGACGGAAGGTAATCGATATGAATTATACCACGTGCATCCCAAAAAACTGTGGTCTTTTTGGCCGACTTCACGGTCTTCGCCTTCTTCGAAGCTGATTCACTCGGTGAAGTCCATTGTTTTGACTGTTCCTTCGTCTCGGGTGTGAAGTAGTGGATCCATGTTTCGTCCATAGTAATGAATCGACGCAGAAATTCATCTGGATTACGTTGAGATATCTCCAAATATTGTTTTGAAATCGTTACACGGTCGCGCTTATAGTCCATAGTGAGCAAACGCGACATCCATCTTGCCGATAGCTTTTTCATACCCAATTGTTCGTGCAAAATTGAAATTACTGTGCCATGTGATATGCCTGTGGCCTCAACAAGCTCGCGCATTTTCACTCGTCGATCGGTCAAAATAATATCGTGGACTTTATCGATGATTTCTAGCGTAAAAGCCTCAATTGGACGTCCCAACGAGGTGCATCGCATGGGGATGTACGACCACGTTTAAATTCATTCACCCAATTGTATACAGTCGCAAATGCTAGTGCAGATGTGCTATGAACATTATTCAACTCGACTTTGATTTCTTTCGGCGTTAAACTTTTCATATGTAGATGTTTGATCACTGCAACTCGTTTTTTTCCATTTTGCAAAAAATATAAAGATTGTTCGCTTTAATCATCTACAGAAATCATACGATGAATTCCGTTCAAAATTTGACGGTAATCAGCTGAAAGATACTATTTGTCAAAAAGTAATGTGACATGACACTGCGAGTGCTCTCTAACAGATTTTCTAAGAACTTATTGACTTGCCCTCGTATAGAATAATTTTACTTTTTCAAATATTTTGTAAATTTTTCAAATAATAATATAACTAACCGTTTGATATAATAATTATTAAATATTTATAAAAAGAAAAT